GCATCTTTCATTTGTTCATGTTGTTTGTTAGCTTGTGATTTCTTAACAATAACAAAAACATACTGAATATAACCAACTTTAATCTCTTAAGTTCAATTAAATCTTGAATTCTTGTTTGTTAATTAGAGGGGGGTGTGCACAGATGTTTATAAACACACACAGCTGTATATGAACCATCAGCAGGTAGATTTATCTCTGGTCACACTTTAAGGCCAAAACTCAAGAACAGCTTCACTCCGATGGTTCATGTTGTCTCCGACTCTGGATAAACAGGGACGTCACCTGGAACTGGTCTGAGTGGCGGGGGGATCCGACCGGGAGGAGGTGATTCTAACCGCGTCGTTTTGTTTTTGTAGGTCATCAAGAGAACAACAACTTCTGCTCGGTCAACATCAACATCGGTCCCGGGGACTGCGAGTGGTTCGCGGTGCCGGAGCCGTACTGGGGCGTCATCAACGACTTCTGCGAAAAGTGAGTCACCAGAAATGATCAGTGGAGCGCTCCTTCAGCTGCTCCTCAGAGCCGACACTGACTCAGCTCTCCTCCTCCTCCTCCTCCTCCTCCTCTTACAGGAACAACATCAACTTCCTGATGGGCTCGTGGTGGCCCAACCTGGAGGACCTGTACGAGACCAACGTGCCTGTTTACCGCTTCATCCAGCGCCCCGGAGACCTGGTGTGGCTCAACACGGGCACCATCCACTGGGTGCAGGCCATCGGCTGGTGCAACAACATCGCGTGGAACGTCGGGCCCCTCACAGGTGAGAGAAGGGCTAAGATCATACCTGCAGAGTGTCGGTCCAGCTGCGTGGGTCTGATGGATAAACCGAGTGTCTGTCTCCGTCCTCAGCGCATCAGTACAAACTGGCCGTGGAGCGCTACGAGTGGAACAAGCTGCAGAGCGTCAAGTCCATCGTTCCCATGATCCACCTCTCCTGGAACATGGCGAGGAACATCAAAGTGTCCGACCACAGACTGTTTGAGATGATCAAGTGAGAACCCGAAGATCGGCATGAATTATAAAACCTCATCTAATCAGTTGTGTGTGGTACTATAAGCTCACGCGTGTGTGTGTGTGTGTGTGTGTGCGTGCGTGCGTGCGTGCGTGTCAGGTATTGTTTGTTACGGACTCTGAAACAGTGTCAGATGCAGCGGGAACTGCTGTTGGCTGCTGGGAAGGAGCTGGTTTGGCACGGGAGGACGCAGAACGAGCCGGCGCATTACTGCAGCATCTGTGAGGTGAGGACACCAACACCACTTCCTGTGTGTGTGTCTGTGTGTGTGTGTGTGTGTGTTTGAGAGAGACGCTTGTTCAAATAAAATATTATATATAAAGCACATTTAAAAACAGAAGCATCAATAGACAATAAAAACAGCATGACAGAAACCATCGAGCAGACTGACATGAGGGAGTCAGCTGATCTTAGCTCGAACGCTAATGAGTGTAAAAATGTTGGAGGTGGGGCTGAAGGAGTGGGTGGAGGGGGCAGATCTGATAGATGTGAGGCAGTGATGTTCCAAGCGCTCAAGGGGAGTGCGAGGGACGGCGAGGAGGCCGGGACAGGAGTGATGTGTGATGACTGTTAACCTGTCGTCGTCCAGGTGGAGGTGTTCGACCTGCTGTTCGTCACCAGCGAGAGCAACAGCAGGAAGACGTACGTGGTGCACTGCCAGGACTGCGCCCGCAGGGGGAGCAGCAACCTGGACAACTTTGTGGTGCTGGAGCAGTACAAGATCGAGGACCTGATGCAGGTTTACGACCAGTTCACACTCGTGAGTATGAGACACACACACACACACACACA